AACAGTTACATGAATTATAAATGAGACATCCCCAGTAAGTAATTGATAATACTTGTGTTGGGGCTATCTCGCTCTTTCCCTTAATTATTAACAATATTGAGACTATTATACAAAAGGTAAGTAAAGATAAATTTATGAAGAAAAAATAACAGTAAGTGACTTATAAAGTAATTATTACTTAAAACTTAAAATTGCTTAACTAAATCTATCTAAAATTTGTTCAGTTTCTTCGTATGTTAAGGTTTTTAACCACTCATTACCTTTTTGCATACGTGTGATACCTCATGGTGGAACTTTAATTTTACGTTTATTTTATTATAAATGTAGACTGATTGGGTTGCATACTGACGCCGTGCAAAAGCGGTTCGGACCCTTAGGGAGTAAGCCACTATGTCTCTTCGTCTCCTCTCTTGACTGTCTTGGTTAAATGGAATAGATTTTTGTAAGTATAGGACCGTAATTAAGTAATATAGTTTTCTAATTGAAAGTAAGCCACTGATTCTATATAGATCGTCGGTGGGGTATCTGTATGGTTTATAGTACATGACTTTTATAAGTGACCTTTGGGCTCTTTCTAACTCAAGGAATTTAGTTTTAGTGGCTCCTCCCCAGACTGGTAAACAATATGTAAGAACTGATTGCGTAAGCATAATATAGATGCTATTTAGTGTCTTCTGAGGCATCACATATCTTAAATTTTTAAAAATCCATATAAATTTGCGGACCCGTGATGTAACAATCTCAATATGCGAATGCCAAGTTAAACACTCGTCAACTATAATTCCCAAGTATCTTGTGGACGTTATATGTTTAAGGACCTGGCAATTACAATTATGGTTCAAGTGGTCCGCACACGTGTGTATTCTAATTTTAAAATTGAGGTATGGTTTAGACCTTAAACTAGGAGAAAAACAAATGTAGTTCGTTTTAATCACATTAATGGTTAGCAGACTGGCTTTGAGCCATCTATCTATAACAACTAATCCTTGCTCGGCATTATTGCATACTTCTTCCCACGAGTCCCCAATGTAAACGATGGCGGTGTCGTCCGCGTAGGAGAAGGTTTTCTCACCACTGCTTCGTAGGTTGCATAATTCATTAATATACACTAGAAACAGTGATGGGCCGAGAACCGAGCCCTGTGGGACACCGTAAACAATGTTTTCCTCCTCACTAAGCAAGTTATCTATTTTACCTTACTGTCTCCTACCTCGGAGGTAGCTGTCAAAGAGGGAGAGAGCTTTACCTCTTATCCCTATAGCTTCAAGTCTCTGCACAAGGATGGGAACAGATACAGTGTCAAAAGCCTTTTTCAGGTCTAGAAACACCGTAACGCATTTATAACCATTGTCTACCTTATTAACGATTTCAGATGTTAACGCAATGATCGCATCCTGAGTTGACCGTCCCTGTCTAAAACCGTATTGTGAATCTGAAATAATGTTGTATTTATTTAAATAACTTACTAGCCTTTTGTTTAATATTTTCTCTATTATTTTTGAAAGGGATGTTAAGACAGATATCGGCCGATAATTGTTAACATCACTCTTGTCCCCATCTTTGTGCACGGGCGTAATTATAGAATGTTTTAGTGCATCAGGAAATACGCCCGTTTCGAAACACATATTAATCAACTGGCTAATTAGAGGAACGACTAGTTCTCGAGATAATTTAAGGAAACCCACAGGTATGCAATCCCACCCCGAAGCACTTTCTGAGTCAAGTGATCCAAGTATGCTATCCACTTCTGCCGGATCTGTCTCCAGTAGGACGAACAAGTTAATTTGAGATAGTGAATTTAAGTAAGTGACAGATCTAGATGCTTGTCCCGTTAGGGTTATGATTTCATCCGCAAGTTTTTTTCCAATAGTTGCGAAGAATTGGTTTACACGGTTTAAAGAGTCAAGAGGATGTGGTGTGATATGCAGTAGGTGTATACTAGACGCCTTGGGTTTTTTATAATGTGTAATGTCATTAATTTTACGCCAGAGTAGTTTAGGATTTTTTAAAGAATTTAAAATCTGGTTTTTATGATACTGTCGTTTGAGTTTTTTAATAAGATTAGAACAATATGTGCGAAAACGCCTGTAAGTTATAATCAATATAACGTTAAAAGGGTCTTTTCTCTTTTGTAGCTGCAATTTATTTCTAAACCTAATACATCTTAGGGCGCCCATAGTTATCCAGGGCTTTAAAGTTCGCTTGGAGCTGGACACTGAGACAACTTTAGTGTTTTGGAGGAGGGATGTCCTAATCAAGCCTATCATCGCGTCAGCTAGAATGTTTGGGTCTCTATGTGCACTAAGAAAAGATATATCTATATCTACAAGGTGCTTATACGTATTCTCCCAGTTTGCTATGGTTTTATATTTGACACAAGCCTTGTTTTCGTGTTTGTGGGATATATTTAATAATACCATTGCATGATCCGTAACAGACGTGTTTAGGACAGCCACAAAAGCCGAGTTATTTAATTTGTCTAGCTTAAGGAGCATGTGATCCAGGCAGTTCTCTTCCCTTGTAGGCAAACAGTGTCCTGGGAGGAAACCATGTATAGTCGTCATATTTAAATACGTTAATCTGTTAGTTCTCATTTGTGCTAATTCTGACGGCTTTCCTATTAGGTTAATATGTATGTCTCCAGTAATAATGGTGTTTCTACGTGTGTGAATACTTTGAAGGTACTGATCAAATGAGTGAATAAAAGTTTCAGTGGATACATTCGACGGAGACCGATAGATACCAATAATGGTAAAATTTGGAATATTTATTTCCAAGGCGGATGCATGTGTTAAATTGATTTCAGTTACCTGAGGTAAGTGGCAGTTTTTATATAGGCTACTACGCCGTCATTTTGGTTTAGTTGCCTAAATGTATTAAAAGAAGTATAGTTGTTTAACACTGGTAGAGGTTTATTAGTGTTGAATCTGCATTCTGTTAGGATTAGCACATCTACCTCGACTCCGATTTGAGACAGAGTTATCTGAAAATCGTCGAAGTTACTGTAAATGCTCCTTATGTTTTGTGTCAAGACAGTCATGTTATTAAAATCTCGTTGTAGGTATGTATGTAAATGTGCAATATCAAGAATAGCAGAATTAGCTATCTCAGTGGTATCTAATTCCTGTAAATTACATAAGTTACTATCCATTATTAATTAGAGTGACAAAAGGTGATTCTAAATTTTGAACAATATTTTTTTCAGTAATCTGACGACTATTTCTGTATTTAATTATATGCGTGTAAATTGGTATATCAAAACATACTATATTAGGCACTGTGAAGAATAAGTGTGGGTGTGGGTATATTGAGTGAGTTTGTTGTTTCTGTTTTATGATACGGAGTGTTCGAAACAAAGTGTTTGTGTGTGTAACAGCGAGCTGAGCATGCTTACAATGATAATTAAAGTAGTTTAAAATATATCTGTATTGATTAAAATTAAACAAAACATTATTTATACTAATAGAAAAAGGCAACGTTATTAGTACTAAGAATATTTTAATGATTGTGACAGTACATACTAGTCATGCTTCTTGCATCAGCTGTTGTACCTGGGCCTCATTTTTGATGGCAATTACTCGAGAATTTTCATCTTTTTTTACTAAAATACGACCAAATGCTGTCCAACAAAATTTATATTTTTTAGTTTTAGCCAAATCTCGGGCTAAGAAAATAGTCGGGCGCCCTTAGGAGTTAATTGCTCAGATATAAACACAGGTACATCGGTGTTTTTTGTTATCCCAAGATGTTTTGCTTGAAGTTTACTTGTGTTTTTAGTATTAAATGACTTTGCCTTATTTAGTAAGTTAGTCTTTAACATAGTAGAGTTCAATTCCACAATTATAGGAGTATTTATTATACCTTCTTTCCTACTGGGCAGTCGGTAAATGTCTTTTAAGTCACGTGAGTCCATCTCCAGACTTAGATGTGTAGATAGTTTCATGATCATATTTATTAAATCAGAGTTATTTTCCTGAGGCAGTTTAGGGACGTTCTTTATTTCAATGCAAGTTTTCTTATGGCTCCTTTGTAAGTCTTCGATTTTATCCTCTAACAAGATAATGTATTCACGGTCCTTTTTACCTTGTAACTCAAGCAGTTCAATTTTCTTACGGAATTCCTCATTTTGGCAAGATAAGTTAGTAATGGCGGTCTCAATGTTATTGTTTGTTATCTGAATATCCTTGACATTTGAGGTAATTACTTTTAATTCACTTTGTTGGGTTGAGATAAAGGAAGCTAACATTTCTTTGATTTCATTCTTGAATTTAGCAAATTCCCCTGGTAGGTCTTCTTCCCTTGCTCTCTTTTTACGCATAGAAATAAGATTAGTAGGAGTCTTGTCCATATTTACACTGATATTTGAATCAGAGATATGTCAAAATTTTTCACTGTCAAAAGCTACGTATATTTATATTATTTTATTATTTTGTTATTTGGAGGCCAATTCTGGCTTACAAATTTCAACAAAAAGATCAGAAAATATATAAGAGAGTTGTTATAATAATAATTTTTTGATTTCAGCCACAATACTAATTAATAAAGGAAAATATTTCTGCTGCGCCGTTGACAACGCATATATTTAACGCATTATACGATCAAGATAAACTGTTTGTTTGCATAGGCGCCTTTAGATACCATAGCCAAGTGTCAGCTGTTTGCTGGCTCAAGTTGCCGTCAAAATCTCCCAAGGGCTGCACAATGTGACGCATCAACATATTGTGAAGCAGTGAAATTCTATATACTCAAAATAAAAAAGACAAGGCTGTATGGCATAGTTCCTTTGCCTGCTCTTTCGAGCGAATAATAAAAACAACAACAACAAATGTCAAGATCATAGATAAATATATATGTAGCAAGCTAGTCAAGATATAAAGTTAATTATTAGTAATTTTTGTCTTTTAAAAATTGAATGAAACTATAAAATTAAATACTATTTACAAGAGTTATCTTTGACTTTTTAATATCATATTTTTGTACCTTTATGCAAGTACATTTAAATGGACAATATCCAAAAGCATCCTTTAAAATTATACATACAAGATATTTTTCGCGCCAAACAAACAGTCGAAAACAAATACATTTATGAGATTTTTGGGATAAAATTCAAAAATATAATGGTTCATGGTATAGTTACAGCTGTATATAACAAGTGTTCGACGACAACAAACTTAGAAATCAGCGACGCTACTGCCTCTGTACAGGTTTATTATGATACTACAAAGAGTAATAATAATTTAAGTAATAACACCATAAAAGAACTTTTGAAAGATTTTGCAAAAGCCTCTAAATACCATGATGACAACTTAAATTGTATTTCTTCTTTGTTAGATTTGATGATAAAGAAAAAAGATAATATAATGAACTTCATAGAAGGTGATTATGTGAGTGTTGTGGGTGATATTTTTGTGGATGAAATAAGAAACATCCGAATGTTGTCAGCATATGAGTGTAAGCCTACTTCAATAGAAAGAGATGTTGTGTGGATGGAAGAACTTAGATACCTATATGAAAATTTTTACCTCTGGAATAAAATTAGTGATAATACTGAGCCACCTGAAATAACATAGAAGTTGGTGTTGAATTATTAAAAGCAGCAACCAAAAATTAATATATTACCATAAGCCATACTTACAGATATGTACAGATCTCTTTTTAGTAGACAAATATAATTTGAGATTGTTGTGAATCATGGCTATTATCTTTATAATTTACATAACCAATTCATTTACACGCCACATCATTAATATTCTGGTTAGAAAGTAAGAAAAAAATGTTTGTAATGACAAATTTTATCAACTAACTAGATAGCCTTAATTTAAAAATAACTGCAAGTAATAATTAAAAGTTATACCGTAGAGTGTAGTTTGGCTCTCCACTAGATGCATAGATAGGAGTTTATATAACACGGAGAACTAGATGGAATATGCAGAAGTCTATGAATGTAATAATACAAGTGTTTTGTGGATGAAATATAGTAATCATATTTTATTAAATTATATGTTACATAAAAAAAGTATTTTCAAGTCCATAAGCAATTTTCTCAAATATTTATAAAAAAGTTATTAATAAATATGCTTGCTATGTATATGTTTTCTATGTAAAATATTAATATTATTAGAAACTGAAATGCATAAGTACCACAAAAAGAGTTTAAATCATGCACCAGTTAAATAATTAAATAAGTGTTGTAATTTTGCAGTCTCACTGTCTAGACACTTCTTTATTTTTATATTTAAATAACTTTGTGTAGTTCTTGTGTGCAAAATCTTTAAATATGCTGTTCATTCCATTAGCAGCCAAAAACAAACTACAACAAATGTGTTTAATAAAAAATATAATAGATTTCAATCACTTTTTGCTTTGAACTGACATTAAATGCAAAAAAGTTCTAAGACTTGTAAGCGTTGGCAATCACAGTTTTTTATTATTTTGTGTTGTTATGAGAAAGATACTGCTGACTCTCTTATTTAAGTTTCCCTCTGTCGCCTCTTAATTGTCAATTATCATCAGGCAGGACAAGTTATCTGGTGTGACGGACCGGGTCTACTGTTTGTACCAGATGGCTGGACCTGGCAGACACCTTGACTTGACACAGTTATTTTGGATATCACGCATTCCATATATAATTGAAACTTAATATTTTTTCTCTCATGCCTTTTTTGTGCCGTGAGAACACGGTTTTCTTCTTCATTGACTAGTAAAAGTCCATTGTTGTACATGTGCCTTTGTTGGGCACAACAATAATTACATTGTATATAAAACAAAATTAAGTTTTTTTTTATGGGAATAAGTTGACAAACGAGCATACAGTCCACCAGATGGTAAGTGGTTACTGTGGCCCATAGACATCTACATCTATCTTCATTTATGAATTAAAATGCAGATGCGTTGTCAGCCGTGAGGACTAAGATTGAATGCCTCTTTTCCAGTAAAAAGGGTCTCCGGTTCTCTAAACACCGCAGCATTAAGCTGCCATTTTACGCTGGTATTCTGTGAGAGCGTGGTCCTTCCCTGGTCGAGTCGACCCATTCGTGCTACAACTGTATATAGCTGCAGCATGGCTTTACCACGTTGGTAGGTACACTATTAATGCACATTGGGCACAGCAATATAAGATTAAATTCTCAGTTTTGTAAAAAAACAATCTAATACTTAATTGACTAATGTAACGTTTACACGTAGTGTATTATAAATATTCACTTAACGCCAAAAACCATTTAAATTTTAGAGTACCCTCAGGGGATTCAATCTTAGGTACTAAACGTTAGGATATTGCAGGAAAATATTCGTACTAATTTATGTTAAAAGTAAAATATTAGAAGACCCTTTTTACTGAAAAAGAGGCATTCCATCTTAGTCCTCACGGGTGATACGCATCTGCATTTTGATTCGCAAACGAGGATAAATGTAGATGTCTATTGGCCCTGTGGCCACAGCAACAGCAACCACTTACCATCAGATGGACTGTGTGCTCGTTTGTCACCATATCCTATAAAAAAAAAAGAAAACCAATACAATTTTGTAGTTTTTTAACACGTTAACTGTCCGTGCACTATATGTAGTGCACTGTGAAGTTAGCCATGGCGTCCGTGCACTATATGTAGGGCACCACTCCGTTCAAACTTAATGTGATTTTTTAAACTGGACGTTTGAACTACACTACTGAATTTAAGATGGACGTGTGGATTAGGAACTGTGTAAAAAAAAACGCAAAGGACATATAGAAATTTCTTAATAATGTATGCGGGGGTTGAGGTAAATGTGGCTTATAAAATATTAAAGAAAACAAGTGGGACTAATCAAAAATATTTATGCTTTATTGAAAAATCAGTAACTAAAACAAACATGACTTATTAATTATAATAAAAAAAAAATCACATATTTTCAGTGGCATTCGTTGAAACACGGCAGGCACAAGCCTCTTTTACAAGCAATGCATTCGGTAACAACCTTTGGCGTCTTTCTCCTTGCTTCATTTACCGTGTTTCCACTTTCCTTCAGTTTTTGATAGCAGCCAGCGCATCGTTTTTGATGTGGCTTACCTCGGGAATTGTTTGGTATACGTGTGATGTTGTGACGCGGCGTCATCAGTCGCAGTTTTACTACCGGTTAGTGCAGTCGTTTCATAATGACGTGACGGCTCTAATGCCGTACTTACAGTATTTTTATAGCGTAAGCATACCTAATGCGCAAAAATAATTCGAAATGGCGTGTCAACCTAAACGTTCCGAAACCGTCGTAATCCACGAGTTGCTGGCCTTTGTTCAACAAAAATTGGACGTCATGGACCAGGTGTCTCTGGAGCAGATATTGATGACAAGCTTCACCGAGGACGAGATCATCCAAGCGAAGAAGGTGTTAGCAGATTCAGCCGTGACCCAAATCCGTCTTATCACACGTCACAGGGATGGACGCGGTAAGAAAGACCTGCAAGACATCTTCAGGCTGTTCAATGAGACCGACCCTGATGACATCCCAACTTTCGTCGCGCGTGATCTCAACAAGCTGCCTCCCGTGACGTTCGATCACGTAGACGTCACCAGATTGTTGAAAGACATCACCACGTTGAGAGCCGATATTACCAACATCCGTTCCAAATTTGAGGAATCAGAACGAGCAGCAACAGAGCTGAGGAACGAAGTCAATAAGTTGCGCAATATAATTGCAACATCTGCAAATTCACCGCCGTCGCAGAATGTGAATACGACACGCGGTAACCGTAATAGTAGTCATATTTCACCGATGATTGCGACTCCGTCACGCGATACCGTCTGTCAGCGGGTTGATGACCGAGAAACTAGGGCGACCTCGGTCGTCATTGCATCACCACCTCAACCCTTGACTGAACCCATTGGTACTCCTCCGCCGAAGCCAACCTCAAAACAAGGGAAGACGTTTGCGGATGTTGCCCGAAAATCTTTACAACCGGCACCCTCTTGTGGTCGAAAGCGGAAGAATGTGGAAATAAAATCAGTTCCAGTGGTGACCCAAGACAAGATTGATAAGGACGGGTTTACTCTTGTTGAGAAGAGACGTCGGTCGCGACCCGTCTGTAACCAGCGTGGGACCGCGAAAATAAACGCGAGTACAACTCTGCGTGCTGTGGAGCCAACCATACAACTCTACATCTCCCGTTTGGAAAAAAGTACGTCGGGAGAAGACGTCCTGCGCTTCGTGGAAGAACGAAGCCGATGCCGCATTGAGGATCCGATCTCTTTACATTTGCAGCATCTGGAGTCTAATAGGTCAACGAACTTCAAATCCTACGTACTCCAGGTTCCTGCAAAACATAAAGAGACATTCCTCGCTCCCGATTTCTGGCCCTCTGGGGTAGTGTTTCGCCGATACAGGGACGCGCCAAAGAAAAAAGTTCCCTAAATAGTATGTCTATATTTTATATATATTTTTAGGTTAAGGTATATATTGCTATGGGCCAATGTTCTTAATTTTTAAGTCCTTGATGCCTGAAATAAAGTTATTGTATTGTATTGTATTGTATTGTAACGATGAGAGAACTTGCATTTGGTCTGACGTTTTCAATAATAATTAGTTTTTTATTATACATTCATTACCCTGCAGCAGCGTAATTTTTTCGTTGGATGGATGCAATTGATTGTAAATTACAATGGCGTTGACCACGCATGTAGCCAAAAGATCCGCCGCTATTTTTTTGTACCATATACATGATTTTCGAACAGGCGAATTATAGCTTGCGAGCTGGTCAGCAATATCAGTTCCCTTCTTGCCTTCGTTGTAAGTTAGTACCATTTTTGGCTTCAAAACTGGGCGAAACCCTTGTGACATTTGCATCTCGTGGGTATGACACGTTGACAAAGTCAGAACATCGCGTTTGTTATGCCATTTTAGGACAGTCACACATTCGTTTTGTTGCGCAGCTATTTGACCTTTTTGAAGTTTCTGTTGAATTACTTGTGGGGGAAGTTCACGCCTTGCTTTAGGGACTGTGCCGCAGAAATCAGTTTTGCGTTCCTTGAGATATCTCGCCAAAGGTATACTGGTGTAGTAATTATCAGCAATAAGGATCCTGCCCTCATCCAGTAACAGTTCAGCCAGAGACACCACAACTGTACCTGGTTTGTCTAAACCAGGCATTTGGTGTGACCGTCCATCATATATAGAGTAACTCCATGTAAATCCATTAGAACAGCACAACTTGTATATTTTTATGCCATATTTGTGGGCTTTTTGTGGATTATAAGTGCGAAACGAAAGTCTTCCTCGGAAACCGACCATCGATTCATCCACAGCGATTGTTTCGCCAGGAGTGTATATGTTCCGCGAGTTATTTATGAGCTTATTTATTAGCGGCTGTATTTTGTACAGCCTGTCATCCACATTATGGTCTTCATTGTTAGAAAAGTGCCAACATCTCAATATTAGAGTAAATCGATTGTAAGACATTTTCATGTCATGGAGGAGTGGATGATAGTATAGTGGATCGTTTTTCCAATAAGATTCAATGGAAGGGAAGTTCAGAAGTCCTGTAAGCAAATATATACCCACAAACTTTCTTATTTCCTCCGAAGTAACAGGTTTCCATCTATTT